GGGGGGGGGGAATGGCGGACTGCGTTGTTTGGCGACCCCCGTGAAATGGTCGTTCGACCCCAAATGGGGTCCCAAACCACAGGTTGAGAACCACTGGTATAGGGTTTCCTGCCTGAGCAGGGGGTTGGACTAGATGACCTCCAAGGTCCCTTCCAACTATTCTATTCTATTCTATTCTATTCCATTCCATTCCATTCTATTTTCCAAGGCGCCTGAAGGCAGACGAGAAGCAATAGATAGAAACTAACCAAGGAGAGAAGCAAGTTAGAACTGAGGAGAAACTTCCTGACAGTGAGAACAATTATCCCTTGGAACAACCTGCCTCCAGAAGCGGTGAATGCTCCAACACTGGAAGTTTTTAAGAAGAGACTGGACAGCCATTTGTCCGAAATGGTGTAGGGCTTCCTCCCTGAGCAGAGGGTTGGACTCGATGACCTCCAAGGTCCCTTCCAAGTTTCTTCTTCTTCTTCTTCTTCTTCTTCTTATTATTATTATTATTATTATTATTATTATTACTACTACTACTACTACTACTACTACTACTACTATTACTACTACTATAGAGATTAAGTCCAATAGCAACATTAGGCCAACCAACAAGGAGAAAAAGACACACCAATCAAGGAACTACCAACTCAGAGAAACAAAGAATAAACCACAGTCTAATTACGGAACCAAGATCCATTTCCACCAATACAGATAGGACAAGCCATTTGTCTATAAACAGAGAGCGATCCTCACTCCCATCTAGCACTGATGATGTTACCTAGTTGGGTACTGAAATGTCTGCAAGAAAACAAGCAAGCTCAGAGGGCACCCACGACCTCACAGTCCTCCTCCACTACACCTCCTCCTCTCCGCAAACCCCATTCCCTTCTAGTACTAATGATGCTACCTAGTTTGGTAAAGAAATGTTAGCAAGAAAACAACCAAGCTCAGAGAGCACCAAAGGCCCTGTAGTCCTTGGGTATGTCTAGTTCAGGGGTAGGCAACCTTGGCTCTTTTATGACTCATGGACGTCTATGCTATGCTGGCTCAGGAATTCTGGGAGTTGAAGTCCACGAGTCATAAAAGAGCCAAGGGTGCCTACCCCGGGCACTAGTTTAATGAAGAGAAGGACGAGGGGGGTCATCATAGCAGTCTTCCAATATCTCAGGGGTTGTCCCAAAGAAGAGGGAGTCAAGCTATTCTCCAAGGCACCTGAAGGCAGGACAAGAAGCAACGGGTGGAAACTAATCAAGGAGAGAAACAACCTGGAAGTAAAGATAAATTTCTTGACAGTGAGAAGAACAATTAACCAGTGGAACTACTTGCCTCCAGAAGTTGTGGGTGCTCCATCACTGGAGGCTGGACAACAGTTTGTCTGAAATGGTATAGGGTTTCCTGCCTGAGCAGGGGGTTGGACTAGAACCCCTGCTCCGTGGACCGGCACAGTCCGCAACATTCCAGCAAGTGGGCCACACAAATAAACAAAGCTCCTTCTCCTCAGGATGCAGGCAGTATTCAAAACCACACACGCCCTGGTCCACGGAAGAATCTTTCTGCATGGCACCAGTCCCTGGTGCCCAAAAGGTTGGGGACCTCTGGACTAGAAGACCTTCAAGGTCCCTTCCAACTGTTATTTTATCCTATCCTATCCTATCCTATCCTACTCCATTCCATTCCATTCCATGATTCTATTCTATTCTGTTCCATGATTCTATTCTATTCTATTCTATTCTATTCTATTCTATTCTATTCTATTCCATTCCATTCCATGATTCTATTCAATTCTATTGTATTCTATTCTGTTCCATGATTCTATTCTATTCCATGATTCTATTCTATTCTATTCTATTCCATTCCATGATTCTATTCTATTCTATTCTATTCTATTCTATTCTGTTCCATGATTCTATTCTATTCTATTCCATGATTCTATTTTATTCTATTCCATTCCATTCCATGATTCTATTCTATTCTATTCTATTCCATTCCATTCCATGATTCTATTCTATTCTATTCTGTTCCATGATTCTATTCTATTCTATTCTATTCTGTTCCATGATTCTATTCTATTCTATTCCATGATTCTATTTTATTCTATTCCATTCCATGATTCTATTCTATTCTATTCTATTCTATTCCATGATTCTATTCTATTCTATTCTATTCTATTCTATTCTACTACATTCCTTTCCATTCCATTCCATGATTCTATTCTATTCTATTGTATTCCATTCCATTCCATGATTCTATTCTATTCTATTCTGTTCCATGATTCTATTCTATTCTATTCTATTCTATTCTATTCTATTCTGTTCCATGATTCTATTCTATTCTATTCTATTCTGTTCCATGATTCTATTCTATTCTATTCTATTCTGTTCCATGATTCTATTCTATTCTATTCTATTCCATGATTCTATTTTATTCTATTCCATTCCATTCCATGATTCTATTCTATTCTATTCCATGATTCTATTCTATTCTATTCTATTCTACTCCATTCCATTCCTTTCATTCCATTCCATGATTCTATTCTATTCTATTCTATTCCATGATTCTATTCTATTCTATTCCATTCCATTCCATGATTCTATTCTATTCTATTCCATTCCATTCCATGATTCTATTCTATTCTATTCTGTTCCATGATTCTATTCTATTCTATTCCATGATTCTATTTTATTCTATTCCATTCCATTCCATGATTCTATTCTATTCTATTCTATTCTATTCCATGATTCTATTCTATTCTATTCTACTCCATTCCATTCCTTTCCATTCCATTCCATGATTCTATTCTATTCTATTCTATTCTATTCTATTCTATTCTATTCTATTCTATTCTATTCTATTCTAACATTTCAGACAAATTGGCTGTCCAGACTTTTCTTAAAAATCTCCAGTGATGGAGTGCCCACAACTTCTGGAGGCAAGCTGTTTCAACATCTTTTTTTTTTTTTTTACATCGTGGCAACTAAAACTGGATGCAGTATTCCAAATATGGGCTTACCAAGGCCTTATAAAGTGATATTAAAACTTCACACGATTCTATCTGTCTGTTAAAGCAGCCTAGGACTGTGTTGGCTTTTTTGGCAGCTGCCGCACACGGCTGGCTCCTATTGATTGTTCAGCAGGACCCCAAGATCCCTCTCACAGTTGTGCTATTGAGCCAGGTGCCTATATTAATACCACCTATATTACAGTTGCTATGGGCAAAACCACGGGAAGACCCACCTTCTCATGTTCACTGCTCAGACTGTGCTGGCGCACTGCACTAAATCCTGGCTTGTGGAAGGGGAAAGAAACTAGCTTGTTGAAGAAACTACAATTGGCTGGGCTTGCATGCTGCAAGTCCCAGAATGGTTTAGCAGCCCAAAGCTTAAGCCCCAGTCCTTATCTCTCAGCTTGATTGTTTGCTTTACCAAGAGGAAATGCGTAATTTAAATGCTCTTCTTCCCACATAAACAGCCTTGAAGTCTTCAGGGGATGAGATTAAATTTCAGAAGGACAGATGGGCAGGCTGAAAATTTACAGCCCCAAACCAGGAACACAGAGAAGACTGGGAGAGAAAGCAGGAAGTCTGGCCTAATGGTCAAAGCAGCAGGCTAGAAAGCCAGAGACTCTGAGTTCAAGTCCTACTTTAGCCACGAAAGCTGACTGGGTGGCTCTGAGCCAATCACTAGGAGACAGTGGGTTCTAGTCTTGCCTGAGGCATGAAAGCTGACTGGGTGACTTTGGGTCAGTCCCTTTCTCTCAGCCCACCCCACAGGGTTGTTGTTATAGGGAAAATAGAAAGAGGGAGGTGCATTGGATATATTCACTTAACACAATAAAGGCAGGAGACAAACAAAGAAAAAACAAAGTCCCTGCCTTGGGCGGGGGTGGACTAGAAGACCTCCAAGGTCCCTTCCAGCCTAGGATTCTACAATTCTTCACATGTCCCGGAGATTATCCCACTTTTTGGGGTGTCCCGCTTCAACCCAACCTAACTAGACATGTCTCCCCCCCCCAAAAAAAAAGTCGCCGCCAGCCCAAACTGCACCCTGACTTCCATGGGGATGGAAATTCCACAGGTGTGGCCATCCCGGCGCGGCTGCTGCCCCAGGTTGGCCGGGAGAAATAGGACTTGTAGTCCGACCCGAGGGGGAAGCAGCAGCAGCATGGGCTAGGTCGCTAGGAGTTTGCACCGAGGCTTCCAGCTGGTAGGAAAAAAAAGACGCGTCTTTCGGGGTGCCAGAAGCGCGCCGTGCGCATCTTCCTAGGGACACCCCCAAAGTGGGCGAACCTCCCCCCCCCCAAAGGAGGACATTTCAGCCCCAAATTGAAAAAAAAAACTCCGCGGGGGGGAGGGGGAGCTGCGTTCCCCCCCTCTCTCCCCTTGCCCCCCCCCAGCAAAGATGCTTTTCTTTTCTTTCCTGTCCGATCCAAAACCAAGCGCCCCTTTTCAAAACACCCCCACCCCGCCATCACCGTCGTGTCTCCCTCCTTCCTGGCCCTGCCAGCTGGGGCGGATGGGAATTGTAGTTCTCCCCCCCCCCAGGGCAGCAGGGCGGCGGCGATCGGCCGGATCCCAGAGATGCCTCCCACCCATTCCCCCCCCCCCATCATCCCCATCCCCCCACCCTCACCCCAAGCATCCTGAATGCCTCGCTTCCTTTAGCTCCTCTGGGGGTCTGGGGGGGTCCCTCTGCTGCCCCCTCCCCAAAGAAAGACCAACCCCCCCCCCCGAGGGGCATCCTCAGCAGCCGATGCCACCCCCCCTCCCCGATGGCCCAATCCGGCCACGTGGGCGAGGAGGGGGCCAGATCGGTGTCCTCCCCCACCCTCTCTTCCTCTTCCACGACCCCCCCCCCACATCGCCCCTTCCCTTCCTTTCCCCGAGCCGGCCGGGCGCCTCTTCGCAACTTTCCCGGGGCGAAGCGAAGCGGAGCGGAGGGAAGCGAAGAGAAGCGAAGCGGAGGCGGCTCCTGCCTTCTTCCCGGGCGGGAGACCCCGGCGGCGGCTCTGCTTACCCGGCGGGGCTCCGGAGCGATGCGCCGGCGGAGGGATGGAGAGCCTGCTCGGTCTGCCGGCGACTGGTGGCAGCGCTGTCCGCCGCCGCTCTTTTTGAGGGCGGCTCCAGTTTCGTTTTCGGGGCCTGGGCGCGCGGCTTGCTCGGAAATTACATCAGGCGCGGCTCCAGCCCGGGAGGAGGAGGAGGAGCGGGAGGGGCGGCCGGCCAGCTGTGCCCGCCCCCTGCTTCGCCCGGCCGGCCCCGCCGCGCCCCCGCCGCCGGCAGCCCCGCTGGGACCCCCCGAGGACCCCCCCCTCCACGGGGCTCCGAAGGGATGCGCCAGATAGGAAAGGAGAGGGAGGGAGGAAGGAGGAGAGGAACCGGGGGGGGGGTTAGTCTGTTGCCCCCCCCTCTTGGCCCAGCGCGTGCTGGAGGAAGGAATAGACGCGGGAGACTGCCCCCCCCGCCTGGCCCAGACGGAACCACGGCGCCCCCACCTCTAGCATCCCCCCCCGTGCCCCCCCCCAAAGATTTTCCACAGGACTCCAAAGTGGTGCATAAGGATCAGGAGGAAGGGGAGCAGAGGGGGCAGTCTGTTGCCTCCCCCCCCCGGGGGTCCAAAGGGGTGTGCGAGGAAGGAAAGGAGCGGGAGGAGGGGGGGCAGAGGAGGCAGTATGTTCCGCCCCCCCACCCCGCTTGGCCCAGATGGACTTGCGGCGCCCCCACCTCTAGCATCCTCCCCCCCAAGATTCCCCCCGGGGGTTCCGAAGGGGTGCGGGAGGAAGGAATAGAAGGGGGAGACTGCCCCCCCGCTTGGCCCAGACGGAACCATGGCGCCCCCACCTCTAGCATCCCCCCTGTGCCCCCCCAAAGATGAAGGGGTGCACAAGGATCAGGAGGAGGGGGAGCAGAGGGGGCAGTCTGTTGCCCCCCCCTCGCTTGGCCCAGATGGATCCGCAGCGCCCCCACCTCTAGCTTCCCCCCTGTGCCCCCCCCAAAGATTTCCCAAAGGAGTACACAAGGAAGGAAGGAAAGGAGCCGGAGGGGGGGCAGAAGAGGCAGTATGTTCCCCTCCCCCCTCCTGCTTGGCCCAGATGACCGGGGCACCCCTACTTCCAGCATCCCCTCCTGTGCCCCCCCCTCAAGATTTCCCGCAGGGGTCTGAAGTGGTGCACCAGGATCAGGAGGAGGGGCAGCAGAGGGGGGCACTCTGTTGCTCCCCCTCTCTTGGGCCAGCCGGACCCACAGCATCTCTCCCCCCCCTCCGCCACCGCCACCAGCAGCCCCAGTGGGAACCCCAAAGCTTCTTCCTGGGGGTCCAAAGTGATGGGCGAAGAAGGAACACCTAGAGCAGTGGCTCTCAACCTTTTTAATGCCGCGACCCCCAACCGGTCGTAAGTCGAGGACTACTCAGCTGATGCAGCACCGTTTGCAGAATGGGACTTTTGGCGGGCTCAGCAGGGCAGAGACAGCCTGGACAATTCCTATTGGCTTTTGAAAGCCAATAGAATGAGACTCTATTCAAGAGAGTCTATCTACTGGCTTTCAAAAGCCAATAGAATAAAAGGGAGTAGCACAGCTAAGGAAAAGAGGGGGGAAAAGATGGCGGACTGCGTTGTTTGGCGACCCCCGTGAAATGGTCGTTCGACCCCAAATGGGGTCCCGACCCACAGGTTGAGAACCACTGACCTAGAGGAAGAAGAGGGAAGGCCAGCCAGCTGTCCCCCCCCCCCCTCTTCATTTGGCCCAGCCAGCCCCTGGCCCCTCCATCCCCCCTGTGCCCCCTCCCCCAAAAGGAGGAGGAGTTGCGGGAAAGGGCATCCAGCTGTGTCCCCCCCCCTTTGACCAGCCAAACCTGGGACACCCTCCCTGACTCCTCCAGCATCTCCCCTGCTCTACTCACCTGCCCCCCAGGTGTTGAGTGTTGAGCAAGGAGGGGCAGTGGGGGGGGAATCCCTGGACACCTCTCCCCACTTTGCCCAGTTGGACCTAAGTTGCCCCCCTCCTCCTGCATGCCCCCTTGGCTGGAGGAAAGAAAGGGCGAGGAGGAGGCGTGGGAGGGGCGACCAAGGAAAGGTATCCCCCCCCAGCTTTGCCAAGCCAGACCCACAGTGCCCCCCCTTCCTCCTCCTGCATGCCCCTCTCCCACCCCCACCCCACAAAAGAAGGGGTGGGCCGGCCAGCCAATTGTCACCCCTCTTTGCTGATCTGGACCTGCGGCTCTCGCCCCCACCTCCAGCCTCCCCCTGTGCCCCCCAGCAGGGTCCCCAAAGTGGTGTGCAAGGAAAGGGCTAGGAGGAGGAGGATGCAGGCAGGGATTGAGCGGGGGTGGGGGGGGAAACACAACAAAGTTAAAAGGGACCTTGGAGGTCTTCTAGTCCAACCCCCTGCTCAGGCAGGAAGTCCTCGACTTAACGAACCACAATGGAGCCCCCAAATTCTGTTGCTAAGCGAGACCTTTGTTAAGGTCTCATCCTATGAGCTTTCTTCCTGCCGTTGTTAAGTGAGGATGCTCTCTGAACCGGCTTGTGTTTTTTTGCAGATGTTTTATTATCCAAACTGAAGTAACCTCATCGCTGCTAGTAAGGAGTAGGATTTGCATTCAGGTTATGTTCTGGTGTCTTGCCCTGCCCCTGTTGCTGGGGGTGGTCTTAAGAGATTCTTGGTTTGGGCTCTTTACTCTTCTTTGACTGGGGTATTGTTTACTTCTTGATGGTTGATCTGAAGGTGACCTTGGAGTTAATCTATGCTGATCTGAAAGCTGATTACTGGGGTCTTTTTGTTCCCTTTTTGCCCTGGTTAATGGTCTCTTTTGCATAGTCTATAGATGCTGTTAAGGTCTGTGTCTGTTGAGGGCTGATTTGTCAGAGGGTCAGGCTTCTAGAAATTTCCTCGCATTTTTTGGATCTGGCTTGGTCTAGATTTTTCCCCATTAAAACTAAAATCTGTCTATAGTAGTGGTTCTCAACCTGTGGGTCGGGACCCCATTTGGGGTCGAACGACCATTTCACCAGGGTCGCCAAACAACGCAGTCCACCATTTTTTTCCCCTTTTCCTTAGCTGTGCTACTCCCTTTTATTCTATTGGCTTTCGAAAGCCAATAGAAGAGACTCTCTTGAACAGAGTCTCATTCTATTGGCTTTCCAAAGCCAATAGGAATGGTCCAGGCTGTCTCTGCCCTGCTGAGCCCGCCAAAAGTCCCATTCTGCAAATGGGGCTGCACCAGTTGAGTAGTCCTCGACTTACGACCGGTTGGGGGTCGCGGCATTAAAAAGGTTGAGAACCACTGGTCTATAGATTGGGTCTGGCTAGAAAAGAAGAAATAGGGGAGATATGACAGCAGTGTTCCAGTATTTGAGGGGCTGCCACAAAGAAGAGGGGGTTCACCAAAGCACCAGAAGGAAGGACGAGAAGCAATGCATGGAAACTCGTCAAGGAATTAAGGAGGAATTTCCTGACAGTCAGAACAATTAACCAGTGGAACGGCTTGCCACCAGAAATTATGGTTTTTTGTTTTTTTTTAAAAAAAGAAACTGAACAGCCATTTGTCTGAAATGGTATAGGGCAGGGGTAGGCACCTTGGCTCTTTTATGACTCGTGGACTTCAACTCCCAGAATTCCTGAGCCAGCAGGGCTCAGCATGGGAACCTCTCCCTTTCTCCTCAGCATGGCTGGCTCAGGAATTCTGGGAGTTGAAGTCCACAAATCATAAAAGAGCCAAGGTGGCCTACCCCTGCCCAAATGCCTGAATTTTGATCATGTGACCGTGAGAAAAAAATATTTAAATATTTAAACCAGGGGTCTTCAAACTTGGCTCTTTTATGACTCGTGGACTTCAGCTCCCAGAATTCCTGAGCCAGCAGGGCTCAGCTTAGAAACCTCTCCCTTTCCCCTAAGTGTGGCTGGCTCAGGAATTCTGGGAGTTGGAGTCCACCAGTCATAAAAGAGCCAAGGTTGCCTATCCTTGGTATAGGGTCTCTTGCTTGACTAGAAGACCTCTAAGGCCCCTTCCAACTCTGCCATTCTGTTATTATGATAGCAGTCTTCGAATATTTGGGGGGCTGGCACAGAGAAGAGGGGGTCAACCTATTCTCCAAAGCACCAGAAGGCAAAACAAGAAACAATGGTTGGAAACTGACCAAAGAGAAGCACCTGGAATTAAGGAGAAACTTCCTGACAGTGAGGACAATCAACCAGTGGAACAGCTTGCCACCAGACATTGTGGGTGCTCCATCACTGGAGGTTTTCAAGAAGAGGCTAGACAGTCACTTGTCTGAGACGGTATAGGTTCTCCTGCTTGACCAGGGGGCTGGACTAGAGGACCTCCAAGGTCCCTTCCAGCTCTATTCTATTCTATATTCTATATAAATCATATCTTCTGCTAGTTGGTGTTTGTGCGTGCAATCTGCCCGTCTTCTGCCTGTTTGTCCTACATATAGTCATTGTTACAAATGTTACTGTTACTAAGTTAGTAAAAAGGCGTGTTAAGTGAATCCGGTTTTCCTGACTTTGCTTGTCAAAAGGTCGCAAAAGGGGATCGTGTGACACACACACACACACACACACACACACACAGGACACTGCAACTGTCATCATTATGAGTCAGTTGGCAAGCATCTGAATTTCGATCACGTGACTCTGGGGATGCTGCAACGGTCATAAGTGTGAAAAACGGTCATAAGTTACTTTTTTTTTCAGCGCCGTTGTAACTCTGAACGGTCCTGAAACAAATTGTTGTAAGTTGAGGACTGTCTACTCTTTCAGATAATCTGGGACAGGACAGAGGAGTTCAAGTTGAACCTGGAGAAGAATAAGAGAGCTTGAAACCCACCCCAGCTGGCTATGGGGGCACCTGGAGATTCGGAACACGAGCCTACACTGCAGGGCTGTCATGTTTCCGACAGATGAAACTCTTCAAAAGAACTTTGAAGCATTGTTTACCTTAAAGAATCTTTTATTCGAGTAGCATAATATCGGCACTACATAATCGAAGCCAAAAACTGAATTCCCCTCCCCTGAGCACCTAGTATCAAAGCACAATTCCCTCCTCCAATTGACAGTCATAAATCACATCCCCCAATTAGCTTGAAGCCAGAGCCAATTCTTTATTATCTCCGATTTCAATAACCTTGATTCTCAGGCTAGGTTTAGTGTTGTTATG